ATCCCTTAAATGTTTTGCTTCCTTTTTTCCCCTTGATTCCCTCTCTCTTACCCTCCCCCACTTCCCAACCTCCTCCCGCACTGTCGCTAGTATCCATGGTTGCTCGCCATGCCTTTATACCTTCCAGTCTTTCAGTTTCTACCATAGAGTGTAGACTTTCGATATATATTGAGTGGGGACATACAATGACTCTTTCATAGTCCTACTTGCTTCACTTAGCAGTAAATCTTCCGTATTTGTCCACTTTCTAGCAAATGCCAGGGACCACAGAGATACTTTTGAAACAGGCCTCATTTTTCTCCAGTGAGAGAATGTATTATATTTACAAATGCTATTGTGGAATCATTATTTCTTTAAAAATAACATGATCTTGGGACCAGCAGTTAGCGTAATGGCTTTGTTGCTGGACTCCCACATAGTCAACTGTGGTTCGAGTCCTGGACCCGGTGGCTTAAACTCACGCCGGGTGCGTGTGTGTGCGTGCCCAAGATCCCGAGAGGAGAATGGAGGAGAAGGGATTGCGGCGTGGCCATCTCCCCTGAGGGGTGATTTCTCGCTTTCTATCTCTCTGTCTCTCTCTGTCTGTCTGGCGAGCACACACATCCTATAGCAAAAACCTCTCCAAAAAAAATAATAAAATAAAAACATGATATTTTTAGCCAGAAAATTTAATCTCATATTTAAAATAAACCAAAAATAATCTGGAATGTATCTAGAAAAAAATATATTTGTAAGGATCAATGTTTACTGTAAATTTTTCGCATGGGCTCAGACAAGGTAGAAAGATTTCCTGTCTGTTTGTGGCTCAGGATTTAAAGTTTATGTCTGCATGTGTTGCATGCATTTTAACTGAATTGTGAAAATCAACACAAAGTAGTCAACTAACTGTCCAAAAGTTCTCTTTGTTTCCAAATTATCTTTGCAATATTCAGATTAAGAAAGCATTGTTTTTTTTTTAAAAAAAAGCAAATATTTGAGAAACACCTCCATATGTCTTAAGACTCAATGACTATTGCTTAATTTATCAATAATTCTTGAATATTTCTTAGTGTCTGGCATGGAGTGAAATATCCAGTTTTTACTTCAGAGTGTTGGCATCTGGTGAGGGAGAAAAATCCAGAAGTGGTTAAGTGTAATAAGGGAGGTGATACAGGTGAGCACAGGGCTCACGGAGGATGAGGACCAGCACCCACCCTCTGCCTGATAGCAGTGACCGTGAACTGAACTGGATGACAGAAGGAAGCACCGTGGGGCAGGCAGAGAAGACAGGATACGCAAAATAAGTTTGAATTACTACCATTTCTTTCTCAGAATTATCTATTTCCCACAGAAAATGAGAGGATCATAAATTTGACTTTGACAGTTTAAATATTGGTCAACCATTGAAAAAGATTTTCAAAACAAATTCTCTTTTCCTTTATTTTACAAAGTCAGGAACAGAAAAGTGATGAAGGAGGACCACCTTTATTTTTAATGATTATTTGATATAACTTTATTCATTTATTTTAATTTGATCAGAGAGGGACAGAGTGAGAGAGAGAGAGAGAAAATGAGAAAGCAAGCTTCCAGGTCTGGGACTTGGACCACGGTCAGTCATGTGGGAGTCCAATGCCCTTAAGCACCACGCTATCTACTGGCCCCAAAGAGGACTGTCTTATTCTATTGCCTTGCCCATAAAACCATTGGTTACATCTGCAAAGCCTTTTTACCCTGTGCAGCTCACATATTTGGGAACCATTTTCAATAATCAACCATTTCCTGAGAGTTTTTTGGTTACATTTTCAGAAATTGCTCCACTCTTTGTATCAACAAGCCCTGCTCTCTGAGCTGCCCCATGGGTTCCTATTTCTTTCCCTGTCTGCCTTTGTCAAATTAGAGAAAATGGAGTAAGAGCTTCAAGATTACATGTTGAACATTCTATTTTTGCTTAATTCCAAATAACATCTTCCCTGGAGACATAATAAAGATCTGGGCAGAAAGAGAGGATAATTTTCAGTGTTCCTCTCAAATTTAATCTTACATTGACAATCTCTTATATTTTACCTGAAAAATGCTCAATTGGGAAAGCTATTAAACTTTAATGGTAGTTCATAATGGATTTCTGAAGCTATTTTCTGTTTTCATTCAAATAACTAGAAGAAAATAAGGAACATAAATTGTTTGTTTTATGGTAAACTTGCCCTTCTTATTTGGTCCACAAAGGCAAAAGTGTTGTACACTTTAGTACATATGAATTATTAATGGAAACAGTCACTTCTGTGTTCTGTTGCCTTTTTTTTTTTTTGTATTTATTGTTCTCTAAATCTTTGTCTTAAAAGTCTTCTTGGATGAGTTCCCTGATATACTATAAACTTAGCTATCATAATCCTTTAGGAAAAAATTAACTTTATTCAAATTAAGGATAATAAGATAAATTAATCTCTTTTTAAAGCCCCAGTCCCAAGCCAGAGAAAATACAAGTAGCATCTTAAATTTAAAAAAAAAATTAAAAAGAATTTAATACCTATAACCTGGTAATGTAGGTTCAGCTTCTGGCTCTGCCTCTTTTCTATCTTTGACACTTTCATTTACACTGCCTTCATGTTCCTTTCCTGTAGAATGTGATTAGTACCGTCTGCCCTCATACTCATCCCACCCACCCACTCACCTAATGAGACAGAGGTGTCTTTAGCATGTAAGTGTGTAAAATTGCCGTGAATCTGAATGAGCTTTCCCATGCTCGTTGTTATGGCAATGATTAAGTGTATTAGCCCACATTAATGCATAATAGGCACTCACCAGAAAGGCTGTCTTCACTCCCTTCTTTCAGCTTTTCTTTCAAGATTATTTCTTCTCTGTCCTCGTTGCCTGTGAGGCCTTCCTGCTATCCTGCCTGCTTTGCTGTTCAGAGATGCTCTGATCTGCAACCCAGGCTCAGAGAGACATGAGGTCCATGCAGCATCAGCGGACCCTTTTTAATGTGGACATTTGGTCATAGGCATGCTCTCCTTATTCATTTCTGTGTGATCGGATCATCTCCATGGAGCTAATGGCTTTATATTCTGTAATAACTCTACTCATTTATAGCAATTGAATTTATTGAAAGGCAAATGTCCACCAGTTTTTTTTTAATAACACCATATATATTTGTTTTGCAAACACCTTTAATTCGATACTATATTTTATTTGTATGTTTTCTGGCAAAACAGTATCAAACATCTGTTTATGATTTTATAATGAAAATGTTGATAACTGAAATACCTTTGGCGCTCATCCTATACCAGTGCTTTGTGGAAATTAGGTCACGTAGTCCTCGTGATACTATGAGATCTTTGTTATTTCCTGATTTACAGATGGGGAAACCAAACTACATAAAAGATGTCAGAGGCCAAGCATCACCATGGTTATATGTGTAGGACCTTGACCCAGAATCAGTGGGTTAATTTAGTACCCCTAATTATTATCTTTGCATTCTTAGATAAGTTTCTTCAGCTTTGTGTGCTTTTGTTATCCCATCTGTAAAACTCTTAATAAATCTCATAGCAAATGTATCTTTTCCCTGTATGGCATTTAATGTTCTCTTAATCAGATGTTCAAAGATCTGACCACATGTGTGTTTTTTTAATCCTTTTTTTTTAGGTTTTGCCATAGGGTTCATGTGCTCACCAGAGAGAGACAAAGAAAGGGAAAGTAGAAATCACTCCCCAGGGGGAATGGCCACACTTCCATCTATTTTCCATTCTCCTCTTGAGATTTTGGGCACACACCCAACATACATGTGGTATGATTTTTAAGTCCAGGACTCAAACCATGGTCAGCCATGTGAAATTTAGCCACCTTAACCACTATACCACCTGCTGGCCACCATCCACAGACTAGTTTATTTTTAACACCCATCAAGCCATGAATTCATAGGGAATAGGTTCCAGTAGCTCAGGCTCCTTTCCATTGGCTCTCACAAAGTGAGCTTCTCTGGGTGGAGCAGGCTGGCGCTTTAGTTGAACCCAGGTACCTTTCTCTTTGGCTTCTTTCTTTTTCTGGTCATTTTCCTTCACACGTTTTAGGAAGCTATCTCTGCTCTTAGAATGTTTAATATGCTCAATACGCACATTGATTCTCTTGGCAAGAATCTTGCCATTAACTTATTTGTTCACAACAATGCCAACAGCATGCTGGGTACACTGTAGGCTCTTCCAGTTTTGCCATGGTAACATCTGTGGGGCATTCCCTTTTGAACAGTACCCAGTCCCTTGATGTCTACAATATCACCTATCTTGTAGATTCGCATATATGTCGCCAAAGGAACCACTCCATGTTTTCTAAAAGGCCTAGAGAACATATATTGTGTGCTTCTCCTTTTTCCCTTTGTGTTCCTCATTTTGGTTAATTACTGGAAGATGGTGGTTCCGGCCAAAAGCCCATCCACATATTTTTTAACTTTCCTTTCTTTCCATTAAATTTTCTGAGAAAATACAAGATACTAGTTGATTATTTACTATCTTAAAGTTTGTTCAGAAAAGCCCAAAGAAAAGCTCTATCACTGATTTTTGGAGTCTAAAGATTCTTTAGTCTCTCTATAAGAAAATTGATTGAAATTAAACCCAGCTCTCAAATTCATTTCATTTTGGTTAAAATCGTAGCAGGCACTTTTCAGTATACTAAAAATGATAAGCCCCAAGACAAGCTTAAATGATAGATATTCTCTTTTATTATACCTGTACTTAGTTGGAATGTTCATTTTCCTTTTTTGATTATTCAATGCATTTAATCACTTAGTATATAACATAAAATTATTTTATCGATAAAGATATTAAAGTTACCCTGACTTGAAGCCAGAAGCAACCTCATAAAATCCTAAGAATAAGAACAATAAAATGTTATATGTGACTTTAATCTCTTTAGAAGAACTTTTGTTATTAAGATAATGAGCATGGATAAATATTGGTGTTCTTTCCTGAAAATAAATTTTTTTAATTTTAAAAGTCAACCATCCATCAACCTGCTGTCCTCCCTCGTGACAGGTACCAGCATATTCACGGTCTACGAGGCAGCTTCTCAGGAAGGCTGGGTGTTCCTCATGTACAGAGCAATTGACAGCTTTCCTCGCTGGCGTTCCTACTTCTATTTCATCACTCTCATTTTCTTCCTTGCCTGGCTTGTTAAGGTACTGTAAAACATTGTATGAACAAAGTCTGTATTTTAATATAGTTCCACAGATCTTCGGTTTCAGTTGTCCTTGGCTTTCTCAACCATGTTTGGTGAATATGGTTTGCAATTTTCTTTCAGAATGTGTTTATTGCTGTCATCATTGAAACATTTGCAGAAATCAGAGTTCAGTTCCAACAAATGTGGGGATCGAGAAGCAGCACTACTTCAACTGCCACCACCCAGGTAAGTATCACTGAGGTGATGTTATAACTCACTCAGTCGTGGGTGTCTCCCATCCTGATCACCAGTGGAGTTGAAGGAAGCTTTGATGTCATGGGCTTCTATACTCTGACTTGGTTAGGAAGCTTTTTAAAAATACAGGTGCAAGGTTCCAAAGCAGATCACCAAATCGGACCTTCTGGTTGTGGGGCGAGGGCACCTGTATTTTTTAACAGTTCCATGTATTGTTTTGATATGAAACCAAGATCATCAGCCCCATTTGTTAGGTACCTTTGATTTGATTCTGACATTGCAAATCCTCAAAGGGCTTTGCAAATAAAATATAGCAACTGTGAAATTTCCTATTTTTATGAGTATTTATTCATGTACTTGCAAACCAATATAATGGCCCTGTGTAGAGAATTAGAATTTTTGGAATGGAAAATATATTTCTTTCAGAACAAATCAATCACTGTATAATAAACTGAAGAATGCATGCCTGAGAGTTTTGAGAAATCACTGTCTATACAGAAGGGTTCCCATAACCTCCTAAGAAATTGAGGAGGCCTACGATTTACTAAAAGCAGCAATGGTTATTACATATGCGGGCAATTCAGATCCAGTGTTTCGTTTTTGTCTAGTTTTATGCATTTGTTTTTGAAATTATTAGAAAGAGGGAAGGAAGATTTATATATCTTTTTCCAGTATGAATCTCTGTAAGAGAAACAAACAAACAAATCCAAAATAAAAATAAGATTATGCAATGCCTTGTAACTATTATGTTAATATTAAACTTTAAAAGAAATTTAGCATACGTCTGTAAAGACTTATACAAGTGTACAGAGACTGAGGTATCTGTGAAATAGCCAAGGTATAAATTTCACTTCAAAAACCTTCAAATCAAACTTTTAGTAATGATATGCTAAAATGTCATTAAACATGCTGTGTTTAGGAAAAGCCTTATGTTGTACATTCTTTGTGATGCTATCAGAGCTTGAATTGTGTAACCAATTCTTATAGATAAAATAGTGTAGTTATTATTTTGTTTTGACAAAAGTCTATTTGAATTTCCATGAAAGATTGTTTTTAAAATGCTATCTAGGTTATATCATAGATACCATGTAGGAAAGCCTGCAAAGAAACAACTGCATCAGATTTTTATCTCTTTTCCTGTCTCTTTTGGCAAGCTAGAAGAAATGATAAAGTTCCAAGTTCATCCTGAGGTGACAGCTCTCAAAGGGCATGTTTTCTGCTACAGACATACAGAGACCAAAAGGGAACACAGCGGAATGAACTCAGCATTTAACTTATATGAATGTTCCTGGGACATGCCCTGAAAAAAAAAAAATTGTTTTTGAGAGGTTTTTCTTATAGGGCACGTGCGCTCGCCAGAAAAACAGAGACAGAGAGACAGAAAGCGAGAAATCACCCCCCAGGGAGGATGGCCACACCACAATCCTTTCTCCTCCGTTCTCTTCTCGGGATCTTGGGCACACACACACGCACCTGGCATGAGTTTCAAGCCATCAGGTACGCTAATCGAACCGCGGTGGGCTACGTGGCAGTCCAGCGACATAGCCATTACGCTAACTGCTGGTACCATGACCCGAAATATTTTTAAAATCATATTATGTTTATTAAGTAACATTCCTGTATAAAATCACAGCTGGAAAAGCAGTGTTTGGAAGGGGCACCAAATCAGCCCACAGTGAAAATAGAAAGTGAGATGTGAAGAGAATTTGAACAGAGTTGTACAAAATTATTTTGATGCAAAATTGTACTTAATCAGGAAGAATAAGTTGGTAATTCAGAGGGAATGCGCCTAGATACTCAGCAGAGGTAATCACACAGAGAATTGTGAAAAACCTTCATTAAGAAAAATGCTGTGGCTGAGGACCCGGTTGCTAAGCAACAGAAGCTCCTGCTGTCAGCCTCTTGGTGAAACTCCACTTAGGCAGCCTAGCAACAGGCCCTCAGGCCCCGCCCACCCATCACTACCCACTTGTAAGTAGCCCCAGATGCATGCAGGGGAGAGACACCATTTGTCATGAATCTGCTGCATTTGAAAAAATTTTCCAACCTCTGTGAACAAGGACTCTTGTTAAGGGATTTAAAACACTAAATCACAAGTTTCTATTTCTAACAAAACAGATAAGCTTTAGCATTAATAAAATACAGATGGTTATTGTATGGTAAAGCACACAGCTTTTTAGACATGAAGTCTGTTTCTACGTTTCTTTAGTATGTATAAAATTTGCAAATGTTCAATGTAAGTTATTCTCTCTGAAGGGCTAAAGGAGTCCGGGTGTGTTGAAAATTGTTGATGTTTCTAAGTTCATAGACTTCCTGTGACAGCATGTGATTAGAAGAAATGCATAAGTGTGCAGACAGTTCTCTAGGAATTTACTCTGGTAATGCATATGTGTGCATTAACAGGACAAGGAAGGAACTTTCCAACATTGCAGACAGTTCTCTAGGAATTTACTCTGGTGTGGAATAAATGCAAACTATTAAAACAATGGTTGAATTTACTGACATGAAATTATACTGACAACACCTTAGTACAAAAAGAAACAGACTTTGTCTTGTGTGTGTGTATGCATGATGCATATTCATGGTATATGTGTGTGGGGAGAGTGTTTTTATGGGTGTGTGTGTGTGTGTGTATATATATATATATATATATGGGTATAAAATACCTACCATTTGTTAAGTCTTAAACTTTAATGGTTGTCTCTGGGGCATGAATTTAAGGCTTTTTACAACTCATCCACATTTTCTAAGTGTAAAATAAACATGTTCATTTATATAATAAGAGGGGGAAGCTTACACCATTAAACTAAGTAATATATGTTAGCTAAGTTGAGTTCACCTGCAAGGGACCAAAGCCCAAACGAGTGACTTAGGTAAGGCAGAATGCCGTTCTTTCTCATGAAGCTGGAGGAGTCCTTCAAGGTGATATAGTCAGAGCTGCCTCCGATTCAGACTCTTTCAATTTTTCTGTTCTACCTTGCACAGACTCCATTCCCAACCTTGCCTTGGGGACTAAACTGTAGCTCTCACCCTCAATTATATTCCAGAGAACAGGAAGGAGAAATAAAGAGGTTTCTGCTTACATCCTATTGCCAGTGTGTAATAGTTACAAGGTGAGGATGAACTTCAAAAAAGGGCAGGATTTCTTTTTTCTTGATTATTAGTGATCCTGTTTAATTTATCTTACTTAAAAGACAAGGAGAAAAGACATGGAAGGATAAATGACAACCCCACCACACACCCCCCAAAGGATCTGAGTCTTTGGCTTTGGGTAGCCATCCCAAAATCTGGCTCAAAGATCTACTGTTACATTAACGAATCTAAATGTGGTTTTATAATATAGGGGACTACAGGAAAAATGAACATGTTTGCATTTCCTTTACTTTATTTCATGCAAAGGACTGACCTTGAAAGAACACTTTTACTGACAATTAAATTGATTCATTTGATTTTGGTCTACTGGAAAAAAAAATCGTTTAACAGAGAAAATTAGTCTGCTACTATCAAAGCAGATACATGCCCCAGGGATCCTTTGTGCCATGATAAGAGAGCACTGGATGTATCAACCAAGGGTCTTTGACTAGTCACTGACAGGACTGGTTTTGTCTGTTGTCCTTAAAAGGAGACTCCCAGAATTTTGACAGAGACTTTAAAAGGCACTTTAGCGGGGTTGCTTTTCCATGGATGTCTGTATTCTCAGAATGAGTTTAATTCATGAAGGATGTGCATGATTCCACCCCTAAGAGGAGCTTTCAAAACTCATTCCACAGAGAAGCCAGTTTCCATAAACCAACAGCTGAGATACATAATTGGCAGTGGGTCTCTTTGGCCAGTGAATCGAGGTGTAAATGTACACCTCGAATTTTTTCATTTAAGAAATGCACGCATGGCCTGTGAAGGTTGACACTTGTCTTTCCCCATGTCACTTATCTAACAGAGGACAAATTTATTCTGCAATGATCAACGACCAGCAATTTAAATGACAATTATAAATCCTAGATATGAGATCTTGGCATCATCTTACTCCTATTTCTATCAATAATTACTCTTTTGAGCACGGAGCCAGGCTAACACAAAAACATAAATAAGGATGGCAAAGGGAATGTTTATGTGTACAAAATATGGCCTTAAGCTGGATAAAAGAGTAAGTGCTATAATTAGTGTCCCGACTAAGAAAAATAAAAATTTTTAATTCCACTCTATCCATCTACCACCACCATACACACATATGTGCATGTGCACTCGCACGCACACACACACACACACACACACACACACACACAGCCTTAAAGAACTGTAAAGAACATACTGAGCCGTGACACATTTTTGCATTTAAAAAAGTCATGACTTTTCCGATGACCCAATATATTAGTGGAAATTACTTATAAATGGGAAATACTTTCCAGCTGGGTAGAATACCAACAGATAATTAATTTTGGAGGTCAAAGAATATGCAGTAAGATAATAACCTAGAAAATAAGATCTTAGTAGGCCAATAGTATCAGGCAAATGCCATCATTTATATCTTCTAAGCCAAAAGAAACTACTTATTCCCTTCATAAATATGTACATAAAATTTCTGTTGAGCACATTAATCGCAGCCTAGTTTAAATAATTACACAGTCTTGCAAGTAATATGTCAGTCTCCTCCCTTTATAACACTAGTATCTCCTTATACCCCAAGTGCACTTATAATCACTCATCCTGAAAATATATTCTATTAGGTCAGTGAGGAATATTCACTAAATAAAGATAAAGTTTCACCACCCATAGTGAAAACACACCCGACACAAGCTTTAGAATTCAAAATTTCATTTTCTTCCAGATATAGCAGATAATAATCAATATAATGGAGATAAAATATTTACTAAGCATTTCTGTTATGGAGGAAAATATTTGAACAATTGAGGGGGTCTTTAAATGTTCCTGGAAAATACATATTATGATCTTTTAATTCCATCTTTCCATGACCGTTTTGCATTCCCCTCCTATAGGTGAAGCATTTGAAAGGTTGAAAGTGTCTGACACAGAGCAGGTACTCAGTAATGCAAGTTATTATCATTGCTCTCGCTATTAATATTATTCACTTAAGTTTCCAATGGTCCAATGAACACAAGTGAAATGACTCATATTCCAAGTATAAACCCATAAGAAGACAAATTTTCAGTAACATGAAAGTATAGAAAGCTGGAGACATAAATTAGTGTTCTCAATGTTCCACATGAAATGTCTCTGACTCATCTTCCTCTTTGTCTTGAAGATGTTTCACGAAGATGCTGCTGGTGGTTGGCAGCTGGTAGCTGTGGATGTCAATAAGCCCCAGGGACGTGCCCCAGCCTGCCTACAGGTATAGTACTATGCATTTTGAAGTCACACACAATGGTTTTGGACTTTTACGTTATGCAAGGAAATCCACAGCTCTAGATTTGCCCAAATTTATGGTTCTGACATTGGGGAACTGTATTTTACGCTATCCTGTATTCCCAGGCCCTCACATTTTTTTCAGATGCACAGTAGAGATTTAGTAAATTTCTGATGACTTAATGTGCACAGAAATAGCGTTTTAGTAATAGTAAATCAGTGAAGAATTATGTCGTCATGTTAAATCTGATAAAAATATTCTTTCTTCTACGAAGGCTTGAATTATTTGGGGGTTGTCATGTTAAATCTGATAAAAATATTCTTCTACGAAGGCTTGAATTATTTGGGGGTGGGTGAGCATGGCCACAATTAACTAAGTTTAGTACCGATCGAGTACTTGGAAGAAAGTACTTTTAATATATAGTCTGTTCTGCATTTCCAAGCTCTCAGAGCAACATGATACAAAGGTGCTTCCTTAGCAAAGAGTACCCTCAACCAAGGTGAGACAATGCACCAGTCCACGCAAGAGTCTCAGGGGGAGATGATTGGACCTCAGACCTCTGTCTGCAAACTTTCTGAACTCCATGTGCTCCAGGCTCCCCATGAAGCCCAATAAACTCTTTGACCTCTTCTTCAGTGGACTGCACTGGCATCTTCTCTTGTACTGTTCCCCCTGCACATCCCCAAATATAACTAGGCCTATTCAGAACAACTTCACCTTAATAAGAGCAGCATCCCTAACACTAGAATTTTCACTATTTTCTGGGACCAGCAGATGGTGGAGTGGTTACATCACTGGACTCCCATGTAGTTACCTGGGGTTTGAGTCCCAGACTGGCGGCTTAAAATTCACTCCAGGTGCCTGCGTGTATGTGCCCAAAATCCCAAGAGAAGGATAGAGGAAAAGGGATTGCAGCATGGCTATCCCCCCAGGGGTGATTTCTTGCTTTCTATCTCGCTATCTCTCTCTGTCTCTCCAGTGAGCACATGCACTCTATAGCAAAAATCTCTTTAAAAAAAAAAATGTATTTTCACATCCCCTTCTTAAGGGTGGAGACATCAAACAGCCCTCTCATGGTAACAGAGAACTGATTTCTTCATCCTGGAGAATTTCATTTCCTTTATCTTCCAAGAATTAACTCTGAGGTTTATGTTAAGAATCAATTCTTGTCAGACTTGTTCAGTTGTCCTGCATTTACACATTTTAGCTTTTTTGTGAAAAGATTTCTCTGCCTCCAGGAGGCACTGCCATGTTCTCTGGGTGTTCCCTCTTCCTCCACACTTCTCCTCGGTGCATCCTTCTGTACTCAGCTCCGACACCACTTTTGTAAGGAAATATTCGTTGTCCTCAAGAAGGAGGTCTAGTACCCCTGTTATATGTTCCATAGCAGCCAATCCTTTTCTGTTAGTGTTTATCATAATTTAATGAGATGGATTAATAGTTTAGTGAATTGTTTATCATCTGTTTCTCCACCCAGAGGAAATGCCATGGCAGTAGAGATCAGTCCAGTCCCAGTCCCTGGAAGAAACCTTATATACTACCCATGGCAGGTGCTTGCTTTGTGTTTGCTAAATGAGAGAACGATTGAGTGAAAGGATGGGGCAGCTTATGAAAATGCTCACTTCTCACTCAGCAGCTGCTCCATTTGCCCTCTGGGTCTTTTCTCCAGGAACAAGAAACCTAATGGGTTGTGGCAATAATATCCATTCCCATAAAGAGCATTTACTTCCATGCATAGGTGGTTAAATAAAACATTTAAAAGGTGATATTAAAGAGCTCACCACACCTCACTTTTTTTTTTAAGAGAAATTTTTGTTATAGGGCGCGTGCACTAGCCAGAGAAACAGAGAAACAAAAAGTGAGGAATCACCCGACAGGAGATAGCCACGCCACAATCCCTTCTCCTCCATTCTCCTCTAGGAATCTTGGACATGCATGAACACATACCTAGCATGAGTTTTCAGCTGCCAGGTCTGGGACTTGAACCATTACATGGTTGGTGGGAGTCCAGCCACATAACCTTTACGCCATCTGCTGGTTCTGACCACACCTAACCTACTAGGCCAATACCACCATCTACTTGTCCTCCCACTCTGATCTTGAGGTTTTATAAATAAATTTAAGAGCATGTGTATTTTCATTTATTGTTCAAAATGAAAAATATGCATGCAATTGGAGTCTAAAACAAGTAATGCATGAAGAGTTTGTTTCTAGAAAGTATCCCACAAAGGCTCTACAGCTTAAGATAATTTGAGATAGTTTTGCCATCTTCCTGCTTCTCAAAAACAGTGCAGAGGGACCAGTAGTTAGCATAATGGCTGTGTCGCTGGACTCCCACGTAGTTGACTGCAGTTCGAGTCCCGGACCTGGCGGCTTAAACACATGCAAGGCACATGTAAATGTGTGCCCAAGTCCCCAAGAGGAGAATAGAGGAGAAGGGATTGTGGAGTGGCCATCCGCCTGGGGGGTGATGTCTCACTTTCTGTCTCTCTGTCTCTTTCTGGCAAGCTCACGCATCCTATAGAAAAAAAAACTCTCAAAAAAAGAAAAAAAAAAAAAACGGGGCAGAGCCTTGGCAGAACATAACTCACTCTTCCACAATGTCTCCTCTCCTTCAAAAACTTTTTAAAAATCGTCAGCATGTGAAATAAAAATGTCTATGAAATACCGTGTTAGGAATAACATAATTGAAAGGAACCCAAGCCAATTCTATCATAACAGAAAAGCAGAATTTATTGAAATGAAACACTTGAACAGCTGTAATTGGGCTTGTCATTTTCAAATTGTTGAAATCAATTAGAAAAATTATGTATTAATAACCGAGACATCAACTGGCAGCTTAGAGTCTTTGAACCTTGTCTTTAAATTAGACTCAAAGTTTAATAAGCAGAGTATTCTACATGAAAATTCACATGCAGAGAGACTCTAAAAAGTTAGTAGGAAAAAAATGAAATTAAAGTATCTGTTTATTTTGGTGCAAAAAAATTTTAAATCTATAAATAGCTTTTTTCATAATATACATTTTCCCCGAGCTTCTTGAAGACTTTTTGTATCCTGTCTTCACGTGAAATTGAACAACCTGGCAACACGAGGCTTTCATTTCCACCTGGCTGTTGTTGGCTAGAGCTGGGTAGCAGCTGCCACATTAGCCTGGCATAGTCTCCACTGTGCTTCAGGTTCCCAGTCCTCCAGATTTCTTCCACTGCACAGGAAACAAGTGTTTTATTTATCCTTGGCTTCATAGTTATTTTTCTCAGAGAAGAAAAATATTTCTCTTTGTCCATGACTCTATGATAGGAGAATAAATGAATAGTAAATTCATAAATATATATCTATACAAGTGCATGCACGAATCGGTAGAGATACTTTAAGAGCATCAGTGCTCACAGAATACAGTAAGACATTAACCCATATCTTTGTGAAAGTGAAGGCTTCTCTCCTGTGTTTAATACATAACCCTGGCCTGCTGTTTCTAATTTTATTACCTGCTGAGTCTCAGGAAACATTTGTTTGGGCGTCCCATGGAAATAATTAAATAAAGTGATATTACATCACAGAAATGGTATAACAAGTAATGCATAACTTCCAATTATTTCAAAATAGTCTTTGTTTTCAATTTTTTTTTTTTAATTGTAAGTCAGTGTAAGTAGAGACTAGCTCAAATTCCTTTAAAAATTTGGGATGTATGAGAACAGTATATAGTGGAATGGTTACATTGCTGGATTCTCACATAGTTGACTGCAGTTCGAGTCCTGGACCTGGTGACTTAAACTCACACCAGGCAAATATGTGAGTGCCCAAGATCCCAAGATGAGAATGGAAGAACAGGGATTGTGGCATGGCCATACCCCCAGGAGGTGATTTCTCACTTTCTGTTTTTCTGTCTCTCTCTCTTTCCGGTGAGTGCACATGCCCCATAGCAAAAATCTGTCTAAAAAAAAAAAAAATTGGATGTTCCAAAATAATCTTTGTCCTTTTTCTGGATAAATTACTTTGGATTCTAACTTTCTTCATTGGCATTATGTCATATTTCTTCATTTTCCTTTCTACTTTCTGTTTGCTTGTCTATTTTATTGGTTTGAACATCTGTCTTCTTCACCAACTATAAGTAATTAGGTAATTTAATAAAACAAGATTAATTGATGTGACTTAATCTTCCCCACCACTGTTAAATGCGTGATGTAATTGATGCTTCTGTCATATTGGGTGTTTTATGTGAAATAGTTTATTCTCTCTCTTTCTCACAGGAATAAATCTGTTAAGATTTTATATATTCGTGTAAGCAGTGAATTGGATCAAATGACCGTGACTTTTTAGATTGTTTCCTTACATTTCTATATGTATTCGCACATAATTTATATCAAATACTTCAACTGTTAGGATATTTCTTCTTCTTTATGTATACTGGCTGTGGAGTTATACAAATGAATTGGGTCATAAAAAGACCTCTAATTCTTCTACAGAACAGTAGGCTGTAGAGGTCTTCCACAGAAGAAAGACTAGGCACATTTGGTCTGCAGTTCGAAACTCTGCAAATCCATCCCGTGTTCTGAGACAAAAACTATAATTGTAATCATAGCTATAATTATAATGATAATGGGAGTCATTTTCAGACAAGAAAAGGATTCAGTTTGGTGCCCTTAGAGTAGTCAAAACCATTTTTAATAATACATAAAAATACATGTATTCCTCAATTTTATTGCAAAATCAAGAGTTTGGAGAAGGAGCACGAGAATGGTGGTGTTAGCCTCTTAGGTGTGGTGAGCCCTCTGATGCCACCTGTTGACATTTTTGGTTAATCTACTTAATGCTGAACTGTGCACTTAACCATGTGGGATCCAGTCACCTTAAATGCCATGCCGCTGGCTGGCCTGACTTTTTTATCTTGTCATTTTTCCTCACCCAATATAGTATTACAACTATTTACATAAAATTTACAGTGTATTAGGAATTATAAATCCAGATATGATGTAAATTATATAGAA